TATGACTAAGATAGGACATGTCATTCCTTGTATGCCAAAGGAGTTATTACATTGCACTTTGATAAATGTACTGCTCGAGAAATATGTGACCACGGTAGGAGTACACCAATAGAGCATAGTTGATCTACTCTATGAGCTAAGACATTTGGGAATCAAAGAAAACTTATATGATCATAATCAAACAAAACTTATGACTAAGTTTGAGATCACACTATGATAAGTTGACATGAGGACTGAATTGTATGGTAACCATCCTCGTGAAAGGTAAAAATGGATTAATTAATCCTCCAAGAGAATTGGATAATCATGATACCTTGTTAAACGTCAATCTTGATTTATGTATCAAGAGATAAAAGAAGAGTCTTTTATTCTTGATATATTAAAAACATATCTAGGAGCCTATTGAGTCACATGCATAAGTTTAAGTATTCACAAGATGAATAAGAAGCAAAGATATTAAAAGAAAATTTTCTGTTTTGGAAAGGATTTCCAAAATGGAAAGTTTCCTATTATAGAAATCAGTTTTCTAATTTGGAAGTTGGTTCCAAATTTGAAAATAAATAACCTAAAATGGAGCCGAGTTTCCTAAATTAGGTTAAAGGATATTTTGAAAAATTATTTCCTAATGTGGACTCGCCTAAAATAATCTAAGATTATTTATTTGGATAGTCCAAATAAATTAATTGGGCTAGAATAGTTTTGGCCCATTAGGTTTAATGAAAAGATTTTAAGATATTTTGATGTGAGAATAAACATCAACCTTATTGGATAAGGATGAATATTTTAAAGATAATGATCAAAAGTCCACATGTAAAATAACTCCTCATCCTTGGAGGACAAGAAAATTATCCTATAAATATATAGGAGAGAGGGAGGTGCGGCAACACAACACAACAAAAGGGGAAAAAAAAGGGAAAAAGAGAGGAAAGAAAGAGAAATTCAACCGAGTCCTAAAAACTATTAGGGCACACGACAAAGAGAGGAAAAAAGAAAGAAAATAGTTTTCTCCGAACCACTAGCACACCATACTCTTTCTTCCTCTTTTAAGATTGTTACAAAATTGCCCAAAATAGATTTCTATAGGAAGCACTACACAAATCAGAAAAGGTAGAGCTAGCACCCTACCGATTTTGAGTACTTCTTTATGGGTACTTAGACTAATGGATCATCAATAGAGGCCGAAAACTTGGATGGCTTTTCGATAAAAGAATTTAGATCTATGCTACAAGAGGTAATTCTTTATTCATTGCTTTAAATTGATGCATGTATGATTAATAAATTCAATGACTTGATCTTAGACCCTTAGATAGAGGAAAATTTTTATTTATTCCACACCTCTATAAGATGTATGATCCTTCACCCTCAAGTCTTTTTTTTTTTTCATTAAAACCTTCATCGTTACGATATCTCTCAACTAACATATCTCCTTCTTCTTCTTCTTCTTCTTCTTCTTCTTTTTGTCATCAAATAGCATTTTTAATATGTGTACATAACTATACGCTTTAGGTGATGTCTAAAGTGTCACATACTCTAGTTACCATTCCATTCATAATAATTTCAATTTTTTTTTTCATAATTCTCATTCAAGATTTGAATAGAAAATTAGATTATGTTAGAGAGCATATAAGAGGTGGAGATAGTGGTGGTTGATACTTTTATTAAAAAAATATTTTTATTATATTTTTTTAACTCAATTTTATTTTATGTACTTGTCAAAAGAGAGCTATATATTGTTGATGTAATACCTAGGAGCGAGCTGAGTTTTCCAAAGTATAATATGTGTATGGGTTTAGAGTTCAAAGGCTAAAAAATAACTATATTTCCTATGCTTGAGTCATTTTGATTTGTAAACTCAAGCCACATTTTGGTAAGTTAATGTATAAACATGATGTGAGATGATGAAATGGTTTTTATTTGTGAAACTAAATTGAAAGGTTATGAAATGGATTTATGATTAATGAAATTTATGGGTTTTAAATGAAAATGTATTAAACTAAAAGCCGTCCGGAACTTTAAACTTAAATAATTACATTATGCATTGCACGAGATAGAGGACATAGGGCTTAATGTCTTGCATCCTACAAGTGTAAGGTATTACTGGTAACACTCTTAGTCTCCTTTAGGTCGGGGATGTTACGAGAGCATTATTAGCAATGCCTCACACCCATTGAATGCAAGATACTAAGTCCTATGTCCTCTACGTCATGTAATGCAAACGGAATTATTTAAGTTTAAAGTTCAAGGCCATCTTTAGTTTAACACATTTACCTTTAAAGCCAACAAGTTCCATTAGTTATAAATCCATTTCATAACCTCACAATTAGTTCCACAAATGAAAATCATTTCATTACCTCACATCATATTTATACATTAACTTACCAAAATGTAACTTGAGAGTTTACAAAACAAAGTGACTCGAGCATCGAAACATAGTTATTGCTTAGCCTTTGAACTCTAAACCCATACATATAGTATACACTTTGACAAACTTGGCTCGCTCCCAAGTATTTCAATTGAAGACAATAATTTTTTTAATCATACTTTTTTTATAGGAAAAAAATGTCTTTTTTTCATGATTTCTTTCAATTTCAATTTTTTTTTCATTCTTATCTTTTGGGTTATATTAATATATTTTATAAACTTTGGAAACGAAATTAAAATTTACTCAAAGCGAAAAAAAATGAAAGATACGGAGTCTAACCGAAACAAATCAAAAGTTTTAAGTGAAATTGAGAAAACACATAAATCTCATGGAAGTAAATTAAAATTTACCCAAAAAGAAGCTAATGTTCATAAGAGGAAATAATTTAGGTTGGGGAAAAAAATATGGAAACAAATATTATTAGGACATAAAAAATATAACAATTAAGGGGAGATAAAAATGAAAATATAATAATAAAAAGATACAATGTGAGATATGAGAGTAGATAATTTTTTTAGAGCCTCCAAAATAAAATATTTCAAGAATCATACAAAGACTAATAACATAAATATATATTATTTTTTTAGGGCCTTTAAAAGAATTTTAGATCATTCAAAATTATTTTCTATTTTTTGAAATTTTATAAATATTTAATGTTTACAAAAAAACATAAAAAATACTTCATTATCTCATACATTTTTGAAATTATTTTTTAAACTAGATTAAATTTTTTTAGCATATGTGAAAAATTGCAACTTAAAATCCCAAAAATTGAATTATTTTAAAAGGACTTTTGGTCAATGATAATGATGAAATTAAACGAGATAGACAATATTTATCCAAAACATAATAGTTTAAGGATAAAATCAACCAAATTAATAGTGCATATGTTGATGTGTCATAACTCTAATGGTTTAGGAGTGAAAAATGCTATTAAACCAATAAACAATTTAATGGTATCTTTGTCCATGAACTATTAAGGTTGTTGTATGTTGAGAGATACACTTGTCAATTTGATCAATTTTGTTTATGAACCATCATATTTTGAAAAAAAAAAATTATCATTTTATTTTATTTGATCTGTTATCATTGACCAAAAATTCTTAAAAAAAAAAAAAAAAAATCAATTTTTGTTATTTTGAGCTTAAATTTTTCATAGATGCTAAGAAAAATTGAATCCTCTTTCAAAGATAATTTCAATTTTTTTTTTAATTTAGAGATTATTATTTTTATTTTTTGAACAATAAAAAATCAATAAATTATAAAAAAAATAAGAGAAAATAAGCTAGAATTATCTCAAATATTTTGAGAAGCACTAAGGTCATATGAATTTATGTGCTTCTCAAAATATTTTCATATGCGATTTTCAAAATTAACCTATTTTTTTAAGGTTTGGTTAGGTGTTACACATGCAACCATACAAATATGTTGAAAATCATATATACTAAGACAAATAAGATAAATATATGTTATTTTTTAGTCCTAAAAAAAAATATTGGGATCATTCAAAATTATTTTCTATTTTTTTTTTTTACGATTTTATAATAAAAAACTTTTAATAAAACTTCATTATCTCTATAAAATTTTGAAATTATTTTTGAAAGTCGATAAAATTTTCATTAGAATATGTGAAAAATTACAGCTTTAAATCTCAAAATTGAATTATTTAAAGGAATTTTTTGTTAATGATAAAGACTAAATCAAACGAAAATACAATGTTTGTCCAAAATATAATAGTTCAGAGACAAAATTAACGAAATTAATAGTACATCCCTTAATCTTCCACAACTCTAATGGTTTAGGGATTAAAAATGTCATTAAACCGACAACAGTTTAAAGGTATTTTTACCCCTGAACTATTAAGATTATTGCATATTGAAACACGTATTATCAATTTGGTTAATTTTGGTTTTGAAATATTATGTTTTGAACAAATATTGTATTTTCGTTTGATTTGACCGTTATCATTAGCTAAAAATCCCTTTAAAATAGTTCAATTTTTTGGAATTTTAAGCTGCAATTTTTTATGCTTAGCCATGTATAAAAAAATGGCTTAGCTAGAACTAGGGAGAGAGGATGAAGTTGACGTACAGAGAAATATCATCAAATGTCCGCTAAATTCTCTCAGCTGAAAGGCTACAAAAGTTGGAATGCTCAAGTTCCAGTCTCTCATCCCCAAACGATCAAAACCGGAAGGAGACATCGCAGACAGCTCAGCCACAATGGCATTTCAGAATTTCAAGATAAAGATCCGAGAGTCTAGTCCAGGCATATCAGTCGATAAGAGCATGGACAACTTGATTAAAGAGATGCTCTTCTTGACATTTATAAAATGTAGGTGCCAAAAAAATTAATTTCAGCGATCATGATACAAAGGTAAAGCTACATAACAAGGACTAGATTGCTATAATCACAAGAAAAAGAAAAAAGAAAAAAGAAAAAAGAAATTCAGTTCTCTCATCCAAAATTAGTTTCAACACAGCCTGACAAACTCATTTTTGTCGTGCTTCCTAGACTTGGCTTCATTTGCTTCCATTCTTTTGCTTTGAGTGACCTTTTTTTTTTTTTTTTTTTTATCTTACGCTTCAGTTTCTGTTTTTGTATGTTCAGTTGACTCTCCAAGACTAAACCGAACAAACCTCCGGACTTTTATGTTCTCCCCAAGAGCAGCAATAGTCTGCTTCACCAAATCCTTCACCAAAACACCATCATTCTTGATGAATGGCTGCTCTAGAAGAGCAAGCTCTCCAAGCCTCTTTGAGATCCTACCCTCAACAATTTTCTCTCTTATGTTCTCGGGTTTTGACAATAGGTCATCTCTCTGCATTTCAAGCTCCTTTTCTTTGTTCAGAATGCTGTCAGGGATATCTTCAATTGATACAAACTGCACTTGTGGGCAGGCCACAACTTGCATTGCTAGATCATCAGCCAATTCCTTGAATTTCTCACTTCTGCCCACAAAGTCAGTTTCACAGTTGACTTCAATCAGCACTCCAATACGGGAGTCATGAACATATGAACCAATTCTGCCTTCAGCTGCAAGACGGCTGGATTTTTTGTCAGCAGTTGAAAGACCCTTCTTTCTTAGATACTCTTGTGCCTTCTCAAGGTCCCCTCCAGTTTCAGACAGAGCCTTCTTGCAGTCCATCATACCAGCTCCAGTTTCTTCCCGCAGTTGTTTAACAAGAGCAGCAGAAACTTTTACTGCTGGTGGCCTGCACAATAGAGTAGGGCATATATGACACTTAGAAGATCTTAAAGAGGTTAACTGTTCCTTTTAAGGCAATACAGTAGACAGAGAAGTCATCACTTCAGCAAATTTTCATGACCAAGTTACTAGGACTCAAATGTGTAATTCTAGACCATGGAACATCGGTGGATCTTTTTGTTATAGGGCAACAGAGCATAAAATCCATATGAAAGTTCGCAGCACTGCCTTGAACCTTCTGAAGGCTATTAACTTATCATCCATTTGAAAGTTTTCTACATTATATCCAAAGCTTAGGAAACAAATAGGGCAACACATGCACTGATGCACCGAATGTAAAATTGACATGTTTGTATGATATGCTAAGTGATTCAACTTCAATTTGATATCTAAAAGAAGAACTAATATCTTCCTGCAACAAAAGACTTCCTAATCTACTAGTCACCCCGCTCACCATCACCATGCCACTGAGCCAGAAACTTTAAGCAGTGGGTGCAATTACCAATTTGCCAAGCAAAATATATATAATATAGCATGTAGAAACCACGTAGAAACCGATTTTACCTAGCAAAATATATAATAAAGCAAATTCTAAAGAAACAAAGTGTTTTTTCTAATGCTCTAATTTAATCTCTAAACTTATAATAACATGCTATTTCAAAGTAATGAGTGCCAAGCAACAACTAAAATTGTGTAGCCAAAATTTCATTCAGACACACTCACATGCACAACACATGGACCAACAAGGCTGATTAATTCTCATTACATTTTTGCTTCCATGCTCTCTTTTATCACTTCAAAAAGCTTCTTGATGTTTCATTACATTTCAAATTGACTATTGCATTTTTATTACTTACTCTGATGGAAAAAATATCATAAATTTTATGAAAAAAAAAATAAACTCAAATTTTCAAGACTGTCATTGTTTTGAAAAAGCGTCACTGGGGTGGGCACCATGCAGACACACACAAGCACATTTTCTCTCTCACACAAACTCGTGATGTGTGATTATCAGATTTCCCATCTGAATAAAAAAAGAGCAGTCGCTTACTTTTGAGCGGTTTCCTTGGCTTCTGCTTCAGCAGGCAGCTCTTTCGCTGGTGTTGCTGCTGCTGCTGCTGCTGGTTTTGCTGAAGTTTGAGCAGCCACCTCAGCAGCAAAATCCTGGCTCTTCTTCTCCAAGCCTTCACCAAGATTGTAGCGAACAAACCTCTTCACTTTAATATTTTCACCAATTGCTGCAATTGTCTGCTTCACCCAGTCCTTCACTACTACCTTGTCGTTCTTAATGTAGGGCTGCTCCAGCAATGCCAGCTCCTCAAGCCTCTTCCTTATACGCCCTTCTACAATCTTTGATCTTATCTGCTCTGGTTTTGACAAGAGATCTTCCTTCTGCATCTCAATCTCTTTTTCCTTGTTTACAATATCTTCAGGCACATCTTCTGTTACAAGGTACCGCACTTGAGGACATGCAGCCACCTGCATGGCTAGATCGTCCACCAGCTCCTTGAAAATGTCGCCTCGGGAGACAAAATCTGTCTCACAGTTCACTTCTACTAGGACCCCAATCCTGCTATCATGAATGTAAGAACCAATTCTTCCTTCAGCTGTCGCCCTGCTAGCTTTCTTTTCTGCACTTGCTAATCCTTTCTTTCTAAGGAACTCCTGAGCTTTAACAATGTCCCCTCCGGTTTCTGAAAGGGCTATCTTGCAATCCATCATTCCTGCTCCTGTCTCTTCACGAAGCTGCTTCACCAGAGCTGGAGATATAGTTGCTACAAACCAAAGAGCAAATAAGAAATTAATACATAACTAGAGGAAGAGGCTACTCTCTAATAGGAGATAAAAGCAATTTTATCAATCACAAGCATTAGAAAAATACAATTCAGAACTGCAGAAACACACGGTAATCAGTAAAATCTGACCCTGATACTCTTATTGGTCATACCCTAATGGAAAAATTAATAGACATAGAATCTATCCTTGGCCATGGTCTTGTGAACCAGATGCTGGTCTTGACAAATCCCAATATGATTTGGTCACAAATAAAAACTTCCATGCACAGCAATTTTGCAACTAGTTACCAAATTCTATTTTCTATACCTGAATTTATTTACGATCAGAAAGGAAGCAGTGAACGTCAATCACCTTTTATGTGGTCATTGAGAAATTAGGCATAACCCTCTGGTTTCTTGGGCTTGAACCCAAGAAACGCTAACCCATTGCATTATGCAAGGATGCTCAACTAGACAAACAGATCATTGTCGAAGGCAAAATACTAAAAAAGAAGAGATTTTCTATGACCAATCATCATGAAAACCACATCCATCACTTCTTCACATTCTCAGTTTTAGACCTGTGCTGGGCACTCCTTTTTGCCTACATGTTTCAGCTTTCATGTTGCCATTTTGGGCTTGGCAGTTTCTCAATTCATTTGAGCAAGCACAAAGATCAAAAGATATTTAAAAGGTAAAAACCTTTAGTCACACTCTCCTTGGGAGGACTGCCACTTTGTGCATTTGAATTGCCCACGGTGCCATTTATCTTGGGGGCAGGTTCCACCTTTTCATCTTCAAGTTGTGAGGCAGAGGCAATTTCAGTCTTGGTTGCAGGTGTTTGAATCTGCACTTCATCCTGGATACTTCCAATTTGATTCTCGACAGCTTCACTGGTTTGACTTTCTGAAGATATGATTTGATCCACAGATGTAGGTCTTGATGCATTAGAATTTTCTATGTTTTCCACCCCATCTGTTAACAAATCATAACAGGTTCTCAGGAAGACAGTGAAATAAAAACATAAAAGTATGCAGAAGCAACATTCAATGCAAAAAGAAACACCTAATGATTCAGATAAAAGATCCCAAAATTTCAAAGTAAGGCAAACTAATATGATTTTTTAAATTCTTTGAAGAAGAAGAAAATAATGATTGTTTATTTTTCACAACAATTTTGGGGAAGGTATATCTGGTTTGCAAACCTGAGCCTGTAACACTATCATCAACACTCTGTGATGAACTGGACATCATGCTTTCTGGCTCCTTATCATCATTGGGCTCTGCTTCTTTTTCTAAGGTCTGAACTGTATCATCCATACTTTTTGATGTGGTAGACTCTACGCTTTCTGGTTCCTTATCATCATAGGCCTTTGCTTCTTTCTCTAAGGTCTGAACTGTATCATCCAGACTTTTTGATGTGCTAGACTCTACGCTTTCTGGTTCCTTATCATCATCGGCCTTTGCTTCTTTCTCTAACGTCTGAACTGTATCATCCACATTCTGAGATGTGCTAGACTCTAAGCTTTCTGGCTCCTTTTTGCTACTGACCTCAGTTGCTTTCTCTACAGTCTTAACTACACTATCCACACTTTGTGCTAAACTAGACTCCATGGTTTCTGGCTCCTTATCATCAGAGGCAACAGTGGCTCCCACAATGACCTCCTTAGAAGAAGTTTCATCACCCTCTACTGATTCATCCACAGTTGAAGGTATGCTGCTCAATTCCTCGTCGCTACTTACTGGTTGGTCCAGCACTTCAGCACTATCAGGCACAGGTTCAGTTTGCTTTCTCTCTCCTATTTGCATTGAAGGCATTGGTTTTTCAGGTTGTTCTGTTACTTTCTCCCTTTCATCCAAAAATGCTGCAATATCCTTGTTCTTACGGAAAGCCAGTACAAATGGGTTTGTCGCAGTATGGACAACCCCTTGCATAAGCTCAGTGCCCAGCTTAACAGTATCTTCTTTTTTCATTGTCAAGGTAACTTGTCCCCTTGTGAGGCGCAACACCCTGACACTGACTTCCTGGCCGATCTGCAGTGATGAGTCCCCCATCATGCCTCCAAATACATCATCAGCTTCTTCCGATCTGGGTAGGAATCCCTCCTCTCCCTCAGGAAGGGATATAAAAGCACCAGACCTGGTCATATTTTTTACTGTGCCCCCTAGATCCTGCCCTTTAACAAACTTTGAGCTTTTTCCATCTTCTCTTCTTTGGTTGGGCTTTGAAGTATTCCTCCGTGCGCCCTGCCTGTTGCTGCTTCCTTGGGCAGGAGAATCATTCCGTTGCTGAAACTTACTCATATCATCATTTTCACGCATAGTAAGAGAAATTCGCCCTGTCTCGGTGTTTGCCTCAACTAACCTCACCTTCACTTCTTGACCAACGGATACAACACTTCCAACATCCTTAACAAAGTTATCACTCAACCTTGAAACATGTACAAGTCCATCTGTGAAAGCTCCAAAATCAACAAAAGCACCAAATGGCTGGATTGACCTTACTTTTCCAGTAAATGTTGCACCAGGAACCAGGTCCTCATTCTTTACAGGTGGCATCTCACTTTTCCTAATGGATCTTGAACGTCTCGATTGAGCTGCAGCAGGACTTGAACCTGTCTGTTTGGAGGAATCAATTGTTTCAACTGCATCTGCAGGAATCTCTGAGGCTCCACCAGAATCTTTGTCTAAAACAGGTGAATCTGGCTCCTCTACTGCTACATCAGTCCCTGTGGCAGATATTGTATGTGCTGCAGATCTTTGGAGCAAAGCACAATCCCTTCTGTATTGTGGGAACAACTTAACAAAACCAGGAAGAGGTAATACAAGTCTTTGTGAGGTTGATGAATATGTTGCAGATTTCCTTGAAAAACTTCCATTTTGGAGACAATTATTCTTCTTTATTGAAAAAGCAGTTCCAGGAATGAGGCAAATATTACTAGTAGAGCATGGGATCACAGGTGTCATGTTTACTAGAACTGCGTAGTTTGTTCAGCAGTAAAAATCAACTTCTCATCCCAACCTTCACCTGCTCAGCAGGAAAAAAAAATGCACTAGACCTTATTAATTTTCCTTGAAACTAGCAGATGAATTCCAGCTACCAGTAGCGCAAAAATCAGATGCACGATATCTTTAACAATCATAGACATGTGTAAAGGCATAAGATCGAGCAAGCAACACTTTGCAATCACATACACAAATACTAGTCCAGAAACATACAAAATGGGTTTCTCCAGAAATGAGCTTCATGTTCAATAATTCACATCACAGGCTAACAGTACTGTAAGCTCACAATCAACAGATGACAACATCAGCTATGACTCAGTCGATGTATCTGGTCCTAACAGCTCCAGTTATGGAAAAGATTAACCTTCTTGGTTGATCAGTAGCAGAATAAACAATAGCAAACTTCAAAGAGGTAAGAATTCTTGAACTTCACACAGCAAATTCTGGCTCATTAAGGCTGTTTATGAAAACAATTTCTCTGTTGAGTAAATTCTGTATGATAAGTTCAATTGGCAGTTCTTATTGACTCTATTTCATCATGGCCAAATGCCTCGCTTGAAACAATTTCATAAAAGCATTAGACCCGGCATTCCATTCTACATAACCACCCTCGAGATTGAGGTTAACATGAAACATATGTAGCCTAAATCCCTTTCTATCTGTCACTCATGCATGTAGCCTAAATCCCTTTCTATCTGTCACTCATGCAGACAAAAGCTGACCACGTAATCAGACAAAGTTTGAATTCTGTCTCATAAGAAAAAGGGAAAATTGATATGTCCGGATAAGACTATTTTTTACTGAACTCCAGCGAATTGCGGATGGTCCAATTTCAAGAGAGTAGGTGCATCAAAATTCTAATATCTTGATTAACTACCAAAATTTTCAAGCCAAATTATTGTGTCTTGAATGAGAAATTTGAACTAACTTGACCCTTTGTCTAGAATCATCTTTAGCCACAGTGATCAATTGTTTGGCTGAACATACCTCAATGCACAAGCAATTCTAAAATCTAGCAGAAACCTCATAATTCAAATGAAAACACTCATTAGAGAAGTGCTTTCCAATTATGGGTTACTCCAGTCTCCATTTGAAGACTAGCACTAAGAAAGCATTATTACATTCAAAAGAAAGGCTGAGCTTTCGTTTTCCAAAATCAAAGACTAGACTCCCATTTCAACAAGCACCACAACAAATTCAAAGCATTACCAATTAGAGTCCCAGAAGAAAAAGTTAAAAAAGCTTGAAACCCACAAACAAGGCAAAACTAGAAGGTTTTCATTAAAACCCACACGAATAAACATCAGCCCAGCAATGCAAAGCCACGGGAGCACATAAAACAGCATCAAATTCAATGACCCATTATCTTATAATCAAGTATGAAGCGTACCTAAACCTCAAAAATAAAGAGAAATTTTCTTAGTCCGCGTCTGTCTATCTGTCTGGTGAAGTTATGGAGGGAGCTGCCTATTCAGTCATTGATGGCCGGAAATGAAAGGTGGGCCTTTAAATCCTTATCTATTTTGTTTTGGGTTGCATTTGCGTAGATGACAAACGATACGAGAAGATATAGGCAATCCACGTTCCACAGTTCATTTTGTTCGGCTCAGCTCGGCTCCTTTCACACCTCTTCAGCCAGTTCCACCATTACTCCTTCTTTAGCAAAATACTAGTTTTTTTTTACCCGCAACATATAAAATGTATAAAATTATTTAAAAAAATCATTTTAGTTTAATATTTTATATTATAATATTAAAATGTAAAAATATATAAAACTAAAAGTGAAAAAAATTATTTAAAATTTTGAAATCAAATTTTATATTTAACTATTTCTTATTTATATTTTTCATAATTTTTCTTTAAGAAAAAAGATTTTTCTTTATTAATCCATAAATTATTAACCAAAAAGAAAATAAAATAAAAATTTTAAAAAAGCTTGAGTATTTTATAAGATTGTGTCAAAAAAATAAAATAACAATTAATAAAAACTTACATAGAATTGAATAAAAAATTATTTTTTTATTTTTATTTAATGTTCATAAGAATATCGATTTTTAAAAGAATGTGAATTTAATTTTTACATATTTATTCATAAAATAATTAATAATATTAAAATAAAAAACTATATTAATTTGAATCATTGAGTGGTTAAGCAAAATATAATTTTAATTATTTAATTTAAAATGAAATAAGTTTAAAACATTAATAAATAAATAAATAAATAGTAAATGCTTAATGTAGTAGTAATTGCACATTTAATTTTTAAAAAAAATAACGATTCAATATTTTTTTATACATCATAACTATAATAAGTAGATTCGAGTTTTCAGCATAAAATAAAAAATACTATAAAAAAAAATTAACTTGCGATGAATATATTGACTAAATTTGAAGTTAATAAACTAAAATAAAAATTATTAAAAAATTATTTCAATTAATTTTGATTATATAAAAAAGAAACCATCTCTTTTTTGTTTCAATTAATTTTGAATACAAGCCTCACGCGTAGAGTAACCATCTCTTTTTTTTATTTTTTACATTTGAATTTCAACTATTAATTAACTAATTTGATTTTTTTCTAAAAAACCAAGAAAAAATTATTTGAAATACACTTTTAATCCAAAAATGAATTGCGAGATAAATTATATATATTAATCATGCCACTATAATTTAAAAATTATCTAAATCTATTTTTCAAAAGAAAAAATAATCATATTTTTTAAAAAAAAATTCAAAATCCATACATATACGAACATAAATCAAAACTTTTAATAAATATAATTTTAAATTAATTGGATGAGAATTTAAAAAAATAATAAATTAAAATAATAATTTTTTAATAATAAAAGTAATTAACAAAAAAATACTAAAACAAAACAAAATCAAATCACGAGTACAATTAAAGTTTGAAATTAAAAAAAAAACATATAAAAAAAATTGAGGACCGAAGTGTGATAAAAATATATAAATAATGAAAAGAATACTAATTTATGAATATGTGAATAGTAATTTATGAGTATATAAATAATATTATAAATAATAAATATACATTTTGTTTTAGTACTTTTTATAATAATGTATTATTACTCCACTCGCACTTTTCAGTTTTTTTTTTTTTTCCTTTCCTCTCGCATTTGCCGCGGGTGATATCCTCTGAGATTGAGTCCATCTTTCCGAATTCGTCAAATTATTGGCAATTGTTTTCGAAGGATAGCGATCCAACAGAGAACTGGCTTAGCCAAGCTGGTTCCATCTCTCTGTCTTTTGTTATTAAATTAAAAAATAAAAATAAAAAATTCATTTTGTAATTTTATGGGCCTAAGGGCTAAGGCTAGCTTATCCCAAAAAGCTTCCATCTTTTTGCATGATATACGGAGCGTTATAGAAGGGGGAAGAGGGCTATGACCTCTTAATACTTGTTACTTGTGTTAAAATTATCAATTATATATATATATATATATATATATATATATCAAGTCAAAATTTCAATATTTTCATAAAAAAATTTAAATAAGCATATGTTGGTCCGATCAATATTAATAATAAGAGTATTGAAGTAAAAAAAAGTTTTTACATTCTCTACCACTTGGAATGTGATTTCCTTCATTGTAGAAGGGAATCACATTCTTTGTTTCCATTATATCCTATGCCATATTAGACTTTCAAACATTTAAATTTTCAAACATACCAAAAACAAAAATGTTTGGCAACTGGCATCTCAATTATTTTGATCGAAGAATCCAGAATGACTTTATCATATGCCTCCTAAAAGTCTACTTTTCAAAATAATAGTAATAATAATAATAATAATCAATATCAGGTTGTTTGGTGTAAAATGGAAGTCCTCATCAATGAAAAAGAAGATGAAATCATCTTTTTACGCAAAGCTTTTACCTGACTTGTCCCCGTTTAAAGGAACTGAACTCCAATCTCTCCTGTATGGAAGAATTATTGTTGAAAATTTAATCTCATTCCATATAAATTAGATTTTATGCGAAAATAATCAAGACAAATACACATAAAAATTAAAAATATAAAATAAATCAATCACAAGAGCTCAACCACAAAAATACTAAATTTACATAATAAAAAAAAAAAAAAAAAAAAAAAACCTACATGACCAGCTCAAAAATAATCTATTATGATTAAAAAAAAAAAAAAAGCAATACAATCACTTAAATTTCTCTATAAACTTACGCACCAAAAAATATTGACGAGTAACACAAGTTTTCTCTCTACACTAAACCAAAAAAGAGCATTGCAAGCCGTTTTTTGTTCGTAGAGAAAGTTTTTAGGATCACCTCAAAACCAATTGCAATGCCACTGTCTCTAGAGTGTAGAGACGGTTTTGCCAACCGTCAAGGAATTATGAGGTGGCTTGTTGCGACGGTTCCAACTATCTCAAAATTTTTATTTAAGGCGGTTACAACCGCTTCGTAATGCGTCTTTTAGTATTGTTTGGCGCGTCATTTGGGACGGTTAGAAATCACCTCTACAACTCCGCCTTTTTTTTTCTTAATTTCACGCTAAATTGTTGGGGCAATTGAAACCGCCTCAAAGTTTAAAATTATAGAGGCGGCTTAAACCGCCATAAATTGTAGAATTTATAGAGACGAGTTTTAACCACCTCAACTTTAGAATTTGTAGAGGCAATTACTACCACCTCAAATTTCGGTTTATTTAACTACTTTTAATATTATAGTTTTATTTGGCCTTCAAATTCAAATTTCAGTTTGTTTAACTACCTTTAATATTATAGTTTTATTTAGCCTTCAAATTCAATTAATGACTTCATTTTTTGGTCAAAAAACAAGTAAATTAAAAAAAATTACATCATATTGAATGCAAATAAAAGAAAAATTATATAACTTACACAATAGTCTTAAATTTGTAATTATCAATTTCTAAATACATAAAAAGTCTTCAAAATCCACAAGAAGAAAAAAACTAAAGGATTAAACACTTGTTAAAAAGTCCTCAAATTACATCATGTTTTTATTTAAAATGCTTCATTCCGACAAATAACTTAATTGTGATCAACGATTGAGAAAATGAGCATTTTGACCATTACCATCATTGTGAACCTATCAAAAGCACAATTTCAAAGTGAAAAAAGAAATAATAATATAAATACACATCAAAACTCATAAAAAAAAATATTTTAAGATCAAAAAACATGTTAAATATTTAATTAACGAGTATATGATACACGAGTAGGATTCAATAAAGTAGGCATCAAATTCGATAAGGATATCTATCTGCAATGAAAGCGATCAAAGCGAGTTAATGTCGCATTTATTGTGTTATATCTAGATTCCATGGCATCATATTTGGTTTGCATTGTATGCAATTGCTCTTTCATTTCTTCTACTTCACTTGATTGATTTGCAAATGCACTTGTCTTGACCACTTCCATGTTGAGATTGTAAATCAAAGAAAAATGTTGGTGTTAGACTTAAACCTAATCCTTTAACTTTACTATTGCATTCTTTACCCATAACTTCTTGAAAAATCTCTTCATTCATATCAATAACATTAGTAGTTGAGGAAACTTCATAACGCTCGACTTGGAAAAAACGAGCCTTTTTCTATAAATATCAAGGCAAGTATATTTGAAATAAGTGAATAATGAAATATCATTCATCAACAATAAATAAATTACAATTAAATTTGTGTACCATTTTTTGCTAACATTATCATCCACAAATATGCCATCCTTCTTCTCATGAGTAGCTTCATATAATGTCAACCTATCGAGTTCCTTTCCATCCCTTTCTTCCTTCAAACAATTATACATACTTAATCTAATTTCATACATAAATATTATTTAAATGTAAAGTTATAAATTATTAATATTACCATTTCTCTTTTTTTTCTTGCATAACTTTTTCTGCCTAATGTATGTGCACATTTATTTTTGTTTGCATTTGCTGTATTTACCTTACTTGTTTTCTACATAAAAAAAAACACACACACACACACATTTGATTATAAATCATATAAACAAGTAAAAGAAAGCAAATTACAACATGAAATAATTTGACACCGGCTTTCTAGAGTAAACCACCTATTGAACAAAATAGACCATTGATCTATCAACGACACTAGAATGCAATTCTTTAGATATAATGATCTCTTTTGCAATTTTACTAGGACAAAAAAACTCGAGCTTTCCGAGTCACTTTTAAAATCCCTCCACTTCTTATTTAAAGATGCCAAGATCCATTTCTTTGCAATATCAAGAAAGTCAAATTTCTCCTATTAAACATGTAAAAAAATATTATGATAATTGTGCAAACTTGACATACACAATTAAAGCTTTTATTATAAATCATGTTTATAACAAATATAAGAGATTTTAAGTGTTAATTGTCCTTTTATGGTGGCAATAGGCTAGATCAATGGTGATAGCGAGGCTTTGCATTGCTCTATCCCCTAGATGAGTTTTGCTTAGTTCTTGTAACTATTATATTTGATTCCTTGGTTGTATCACTAACAAAAAAGATCAAGGGAACTAAGAAAAGTTGTGTTGAACCTTCCGTTCTATTGCTTAATAGAAAAATAAAATAGTGTGTCTCTAAAATAGTTATGAAATAGAAGGCCAATTCCTAAAGAAAATAAACTAATTCTATGTCCGTGTCAACCTCTCGTTTGCCTCATCAAAACACTTTGCTAACTTGTTGTGGATATCACTATTGCCTATTTGGTTCCACATCTCTCACTATCTTTCGATAAAACTAACCAAACTCCAAATGGGTCCTAGGAAGAGATTTTGAGTGTTAATTGTCCTTTTATAGTGGCGAAGGCTTTGGAAGTGTCTATAGTAAAGATCAATGGTGGCAGTAGGCTTTAGCCAAGTAACATGATTGTAATTAAAACTTTAGAAGAATCAACATCCGATTCAAATATTAGATGGAAGTGATAAAGCGATAGTATTCTAGCTTGGCATGAAGAAACCACATACTAATCCTTTAATATATATGATTATATTTACATCCATAGCATGGCATGGCAGAAGACAAGAAATGTTTTTTTTCAATTTAAATGGACTTTATGTGCATCCAAAACAAAAACTGGACCATTTCCATGCATTTTCCACCCATTTGGTTTTCCCTTTCGATCACCGAAAAGAAATATCCATTATTACAAATTCCCATCAACATATTTATTTTTCTTCAAAGCTTTTCAATGTTAGGAAAGTTGCACCCATTATTCATCATCATGGTAGGTCTATCTAACTCGGTAGGGAAGCGCCACAACTCATAGCATATATTCCCTTTCAACATAAGCCCACTTATGTTTCTAGATATGGAGTGAGAAACTAGCTAGGACAACCCAATAACTCCACAAAATTTTCCCATTTCTCCAAAATTATAAAAGAGAACTACACAACTGCCATCATTTTCAAACATACCTAAAAAGGATCATAACTCATATTTATGTTTCAATCTTTCCTATCACCTACAAAATAGAAATGGGTCCGCATCATCAAATATGAACTTGGTTTTGTCCACCGATGCAAAGCCTAGGCTAAAATGGACTCAAGAACTTCGTCAAAGGTTTTTGAAGCAGTCAATCAACTTGGAGGTGTATATAGTAAGTATTTCTATGACATCAATGGCCTTACTTATCGATCCTTTGTTCCGAGCTCAAGGTTTCCTAGGGAAAAGTCAACACTCTCGATCGGCATTGAAAACAAGCAAGAAGGTGATTCTAAATTATAAAAAATCGATTAATAAACTACTACATAATTGTAGAAAAGATTCAATTCTTGTGTAAGCTGAACAATATAAGAAGCTTGAAAAACAAATCTCAATGATTGAACTAGGTGGAACATATACTTGATAAAGCAAGCACGAGCTACATCCACTAAAAATGCATACGTATGCACATACTTAATTATTTATATATCTTGTAGTAATAATATATGGCAAAAGTAACATAGTTTTAGATGAGATCAAAGTCACATAAAAACATACATGGCGAGCTTGGATAATCTTCGCATGCAAGGAAAGCCATATTAATCGAAGAAAGCTTTAAAGGGGTAAGAATCAAAACTATATCTTGTATTTTGCATTTGAAAAACAGTAAAAAAAGGGTATGTACTTGAAAGAATTTACCTTCACAAGCTTTATAATGTTGTTCTTGAAGACAACAAACTCCTTACAATCCCATCGTGGGATGCTCAAAGGTGCATGAATTCCTTTTTTTACTAATATTCCAAGGTAAGAACTAAAAGCGGTAGCTTCTTTTGTACATGGAGCTTCATATTTATCAACTTCTATGATAATTTGTTCCCCATCTTCCAAATGGTTCCAAAATTTTATCATTGAAGCTCGATTTCACCTTTTAATGCGTTTTCCCTCTTTATCTATTTTTTCATTATAATTTTAAAAATTAAGATAGAATCGGTGGCATATAAAATAATTAAAATCTCTAATAATTTTAACCATGAAATCATCATGCGGAGCTTCTTGAATAGGTAGTGAATAATTTACAGCAAATGTCTAACTTTGAATTTGTGTTTGATCTTGCATAAGTTGTGAACTATAAGAAGATGTATGATTTTGGAAAATAGGTTGATCAAATTAGGGTTCATCCCTAACAATCCTTAAGCCATGTAAAGTCTTAAATCCTCGAACCATATCTAATACTGCAACATGTCACTTGATATTAAAATTATGAATCAACATAAGATCAATCAAAATTAAAGCAACACTAAAAGTTTTAAAATTAGAAACGTACCAAAGTATAATCACCAACGTATAACTATGATAAAAATAAAATAAAAATTAATAAAAAAAATTAATTAAAATCTAAACTATTTCATCATCTAAATCATTCCGCACCCATACATGCTTCTCCCCTCATCCAAAGATTGAGAATTCAAAAAGTGTCTTTTAGAAACATCATCTACCCCCATATCAAATACATCTCTTAGTCTAACTTTGACAACTACGGACCAATTCATATTTGATGGATCCTTCACATAAAATACTTGTTGTACTTGGGAAGAGAATACAAATGGATCATCTTTTTCATTCTCACATGTGTGAATTAAACATGAGAAGTTAACTAGCGTATATCCAAATTCATGTTGCCTAATCCCGATACTTATGATATACATCAACCCAATCACATTTAAATAATATAACTTTAAAACTATTGTAGTAATCTAGTTTAATAATATCTCTTAATTTTCCATAATAGTTAACTCCTCCTACTGCTGAAATGTTAACCATACCATTATTTTGAGTTGATCTATTTACTTCCTAATCCAATGTATGGAACTTAGTTCCATTGATGATGAACCCATTAAATTTTTGGTCACATCATTAGGCCATTTACAAAGTGCTAAAATTTCATCCGAAATACTTTGATCATTCATGTTTAAAACCTATAATAACACAAATTGAATGAAGTTAGAATTAATATACTTTAATTCCTCATTTTTACTCGAACAATTATTCAATTACTTACCTTTTGTTGAAACCAACTATGAAATTTTTCATCAAGTAGTCTTTCAATATCCTCACTTCTAAGACGAGCATGTCGATGTCGTTTTTTTCATTCTAAATCAATGAATTCTCTACATATGAAAATTTTAATGTATTAAATAAGAGTATGTTTTATAGAATTAGTAGTAAACCTTATTAAACTAAAAGATAAAATTATGAGCAAAAACGTTCAATTTCATCACAATGACGTAAGATATAACGATGTGCTTGAATCAAAGACTTATTATCCAATTGGATGGCTTCAACTTTTCCAATAGGTTGACCGAGCACTTTTGAACAAATATTTGATAATTTGCTCATTTGAAGGACGATTAGGATTTCTCAAAGGTCGACTAAATCGTGTTTCAACTCCTTTAAGGCATCTCGAACAAAATGTCAAAGATTCTTCGACTACATACCCTTCGTAATTGATCCTTCCGGACAAGTTTTATCACGAACATATGACTTCAAATGCACAAATTGCCTAAAAAATTTTATTAATCTCATTTAAGTAAGTATAATCATCAAAATATGATATAGTGAAAATAATTACCGTAATGTACCTTTCTTGAGGATACATCCACCTATATGGCATCGAACCACTAAGCTTTTCCACCTCCATGAAATGAATAGTTAAATGCACCATACAATGAAGAATGATGGTAGAAAAATCCTTGCCATCCGAGAAAGAGCCAAAACAATCCGGTTTTAAATTTTGTCAAGCTCATTCACATCTAGCACCTTTGAGCATATTACTTTAAAGAAATCAAACAATTCCATTATCACCAAAGTTACCTCTTTAGATGGACTACATGACGCTATTACTATCGACAAAAGATCTTCAATCAAAAAATGACAATTGTGACTTTTTAAGACTAATTAATTTTTTATCTTTAAGATTTACACTTCTTGAAATGTTAGATGCGTAACCATCAAGCAATTTCAAAGAATGAAGAATTTTGTAAAAGATTTCTCTTTTCGCTATTGACATGGCAAAACAAGCAGAAGGCAAGTTGTTTTTACCATTATTAAGCACCTAAGGGTGAAGATCAAACCTAATACCTAAATCCACCAAGTCAAACCTGCTACCTAAATTTTTTATCTTTAAGATGTACACATCTATGTCAATTCGTTGGACTATTCTCACTCGGAATAATCATTGATAATATGAATGATGATTGTTTCATACAAATCCATGGTAAAGTATTATATACAATCAATAGAAAAGGCCATGTAATATATATATCGCTCATTTTTTTAAAAGGATTAAAACCATCACTAGCAAGTGCGAGCCTTACATTACGAGAATCTAAAGCAAAATTTGGATATCAAGCATAAAAAATTTCCCATGCTTCTTCGTCCGTAGGATGCCTTAATAATCCATCTTTCTTATGACCTTCCTCATGCCACCTCATATCACTAGCATTTTTGTTTGAAAAAAATAACCTTTGTAAATGAGGTATTAATGGAAAGTAATGCAACACTTTTTTTGGTATTTTCTTCCTAGGACCTAAATTTTCCATCGGATCATTAGTACTCGTCTATGTTGTTTTGCCCTTTTTTTACGACCAAGGAGTACCACATATATCATATACTTCAAGATTTTTTTTATCACCCCAAAATAACATAAAATCATTTGAACAAGCTTTCATCTTCTCATAATCAAGACCTAAAGCTTTATTTTGCCTCATAAAATGATTTAGGCAACAATATACCTTCGGGAAATGCAATAGCCAACAATCATTTGAACAAGGTTTTATCTTCTCATAATCAAGACCTAAAGCTTTAATGATTTTTTTTGCCTCATAAAATGATTAAGGAAACAATATACCTTTAGGAAATGCAATAGCCTATAACTCCAATAGCATAGTAAATGATTTCTCGATCCACCCATTCAAACATTTTAAATGGTATAAATATAATATAAAAGCTAACCTCGAAAATGGCTTACATCCGGGATATAACTCTTCGTTCATATTTTTTAATAAATCATTAAACATATTTGACTCTTGGGTGGATCGTTCAATATGTTGCTCTACATCAAACCTTTGACATTGCTCATTCATTTCATCATTCATTTGTTCATCATGACTTTTATCGCATTCATATTCAATCATTCTATTTATAACTACCGAGAAAAATACCAATTAGCAACGAATTTTAATCGTTGCTCTTTAGCGACAAATTAGCTATAGATTAGAGACGGACTATAAAAAGTTATGTTTTACGATGGATTAGTGATGGACTAACAAGGGATAATTAGCGACGATAAAATATTCGTTGCTAAATAAGGCAACGAAAAAAGTGCCAAAATTAACGACGGATTAGTAATGGCTTTGTAGTCTCTAAATGAAAAATTTAGTGATGCACTTCAAATCTATTACTAATTAGCAACGGATTTTAGAATTCTTCGTTAAAATTAGTGACGGACTTCAAATCCATCATTAACTAGCGACGAATATCAAGTCTGTCTCTAATTTATGCCTTTCTTGGGGGAAATTCCCCCAAAATTGCCCAAATTTAGTGACGAATTTTGAAATTCGTCGTTAAAATTAGCGACAAATTTTGGAAATATCACTAAAATTAGTGATTGACTTCAAGTTCGTCCTTAATTAGCGACGGACACGATGTTCGTCGCTAAATTGTGCTCTTTTTTTAAGGGAAATTCCCCCAAAATGGCCAAAAGTTAGTGACGGATTCCAAAGTCCATCGCTAAAATTAGCGACGGACTTCATGTTCGTCCCTAATTAGCGACGGACACCAAGTTCATCGCTAATTTGTGCCTTTTTGGGAGAAAATTCCCCAAAATGGCCTAAAGTTAGCAACGAATTTTAGAATCGGTCACTAAAATTAGTGACGGACTTTAAGTTTGTCGCTAATTTGTGCCTTTTTGGTGGAAAATTCCCCCAAAATGGTCCGACCTTAGCGACGGACTTCGGGGTTGAGATTTTAGAGGGAAATTTCCCCCAAAATCCCGATGAGGTAGTGATGGATGCCAAGTTCGTCGTTACCTCATTGACATTTAGCGATAGACATCACGTCCGTCGCTACCTCATTGACGTGAAGTCCATCATTAAACTTCGATAATTTAGGGGAAATTTTCCTCCCAAATTAACGACGAAATCGAGTATGTCGTTATTTTACCTTTATATATACCCTCTTCTTTTTCTTCTTCACTTGCTTCCCTCACCTCCATCACACCTCCTCTTT